CAAAAAAAAAAAACAAGGACAAAGACTAAGAGACAGTATAAACAGTTGAAGGAGGCAGCAGCAAAAGGGCAGGACTGGAAACAGAACTTACAATTCCTGTTTTAAACAAAAAAACAAAGAATACCCGATACACAAACTGACATTAGAATTAAAAAATGATCAAGAATGTAAAAAAAAAAAAAAACACCTGTGGCCTTACTAGGTCATCAAACTGCTAACATTTATTTCTCAGGGCACGACAAGCCCTGGCAGCTGAACACAGCTCCAGTTTACATCTAAAAGGCCTTCCCAAAATTCTCCAAGGAGCTGAGGGGGAAAACCCCACCATTCAGATAAACCGGCACAGTGACAAAGATGGGGACAGACGAGTGAAACAGAAAAGGAGATGAGTCAATGCTGGAACACTTGAGGAGACAAGCCAAGGCTGGAAGAATTGAGCAAGAAACCATCCCAGGTCTGGCAGTGGAGAAGAAGGGCTTGCCATTGCATTGTGTGAGACGGCCATAAGAAGAAGATAAACGAATTTTAATCCTCATCTGGACATTGAAAGTTGACGCCAACAGACGACCCTGGCCTTGGGTGCAATGTGGCATTTTAGCTGTGTAGAGTGGTGCCATATGACCTGTAAGAAGTCTCCACTCTTGTTGTTTAGTAGAGGCGTTTCTCATACCTGTAAAGCGGGGAAAAAAGACAGTGGGTAGTCATAAAGTTATCCTGTGGTCGTATCTGGAAGAGGGGAAGGTGTCCTACTACTTCTACCTATTGTAAAGCCTGAGTGAGTACTCTATTAATCTTTCAACTGATATTATATCTATAGGAAAATTCAACTAACATTTTGGTTTATCAGCTGATCTCAACAAGCATTTATCCCAAAATCTATGCCAGAAGTTCTACCACACTTGGTGTTTATCTCAGGTCTTTCCATCATTTGTATTTAGTTATTCCTCCAAGTATGTGGAGGCACCACACATACATAACAAGTGCATAATCTATATAATTTAGTTTTAGTACATGTTTTACCGCACTTGCAACACAATAAGGTCATATAAGTGCCAAGAATAGAGGTGTTACAAGAGAGTAACATACACAAAAAAGGAGGAGAGATTTTTTATATGAAGAAGAAGCAAACCACACCAGAGCACCCGCCAACCACCCACAATCTATATATAAGCATTAGAAATGTTACACTTTTCTTAAGTTCAAAGTCTTAACCTAAATTTAAATAAGATACACATCAGGTGTTTCGAAACCATTCAAAGAGTTATTAATAAATCCACCCTTTAGTCTATTTCAGATATTCAATCTATCTTTAGTTACCTAAGGTGGTCTGTCTATCCTATAGAGTGTGTAAGTGTTCAACATTATATCCTATAATTCAGTGCCACAGAGGAGCAATGACAAGAGACAACAGACATAACAACACCATAGCAAGCACACCGACACAAACGCTACTACTTACGAGTGAAGGCCGTGGACTCCCCCTTCTATCTGAGCTGACGTTGTTCGCCTCTCGAATTTCAATTCCCCGCCATACATCATGGATCTGTAGACAAAAGAAAAAAACATTAAGGAGGAAAGTCATCACTAACAAGAAAACATTCCATAAAAGATCTCATGCAAAGGTCAGTCATCCAATGGTTGCAAGATAAAGACGATTATACACTGGTCAAAGTTACACGTACACTAACAGAGAACACCAAAAGCAAGAGAAAAAAAGTTTAGGGGGAAATCCGTGGGATAAATCATCAAGGTAAATGAATTTTAAAATCAAACAAGAACTGCTCACGAACAATGTGTATACAATATCCTCAGGAAAAGAAAGCAAATCAGCAGGTAGACAAAACAGACATCATTACAAATCAGCATTAACTACAGCCACACAACTGACACCAACAAAGAAAATCTGACGACAAGTCAATAAAGATGACAAATAAAGATAAGCTGCCGATTACAAATAAGGCAATACACTGCACCCTATAGAGAAGGCCTTGACAAATAGAACCGCTGTCAGCTAGTGAACTAAACATCAAGCAGAAAATGCATTAGTAGATAAACAGTAACGAACACAGTGACGCAGGGTAAAAAAATCAATAATTACACTGCCCACGAAAAAAACTGATGAAAAAAATCACAAAGAATAGGAAAAAAAAACAACAACACACACACAAAAAAAAAACCATGCTGTTAAAAATTTCAGAACAGTAATCCACAGGAAATAGTAATACAGTTGAAATTGTCCAAGATGACCACCTATTAAAGATGAGTAAGTGTTGTCCGAGACAAATGGACATTTTAGACTGTGTCATAATATAGAAAAAATGGGGGAGGGGTAATTGGACTTTTTAGTTAGTTTTAGTAGAGGGTTTTACGGCACTGCATAAGGTCATATGAGCGCCAGAAGATTAGAGGTGTTACAAGAGAGTAACAAACATAAAAAAGATGAAGGGGAGATAAGGACGATAGATGTTTGATAGGAAAGAAGAAGCAAACCACACCAGAGCACCCGCCAACCACCCACGAAATTGGACTTTTGTACATGAGTGATTGTCATAGACAAGAGTGGTTAGGGCCATTCGGCTGTATACACACAGAAAAAGAATACAATGTACTAAAAAAACGGGCATACATAATTTACTCTACAGAAAATCTGCTCGGTAATGATACCCAAACATTGCAGTCTTGAAATTAAAAAGAAAAGAAAAATTATGAAAGAAACTCAAAAATAGAGAAAGAAAAAAAGCGAGAGAAAAACTGATTAGATGATATCAGTACCCTGGTAGCTGAGAAACAACGGGGTGGGGGTGGGTCCAAAATCAAAATTAAGTAATGTTTAAAAAAAGGCCCATGAAGAAACACAACAGAAAAAAAGCTGCTTATTAATCTAACACAACATCTTGGAAAAATAAAAACATAAGGCATCAAAAACATGCAAAAAACACAACAAAAATTTAACAAGAAGCAATCCATACTCAGAAGTCATGCATACACCACATCGAGGCGACATTTTACAAAGAAGCTACATGGTCAGACCAACCATCACTGACAAAACTAGAGAACAGGAGGTAGGAAACTGTTCAGAGAAGATATCAGAGATGGAACGGGCATGAGGCATTCATCTCTTAAAAAATATCTATCCTGGGTGGGTGTGGATGGGGATGGGGAGCCCGCCCACAGCAGCACAGGAGAAAATTTTTTTTAACATCTTGAAAGTAGTAATGTCTCACTCTCCTACCCGTCCTTTTTTAAAAAAATCAGTTGAGTGAAAACCTAAACCGTTCCAACACCGAAAGGAAAGAAGCCGCGAGGAAGAAAAGTGTGCCTATGAAAAATAAAATTTCAACAGGAAATAGTTAGCACAGGTGACAGTATTTTTGTCTGTAAAGAAAAAAAAAATCTACTGATTGAAATTAAAGAATAAAGGCACTGCAGTACCCATATTTCTATATCTCCGTACATTTTATTTTGATTTTATGAGCAAGACACTTTCTTGACCCCATATCTTTGAGTGAAACTTCAGTCCAAACATCTGAATCTGGTATTTCAGATGAGACCAAAATTGGAGAGCAAAAACATAGAAAAGTCCACCAGCCAAAAGAGCTGTTTCATTACAGAAACAATGCCGTTCACAGTTCACAGCTGCATTCAAACAACTGGAATAGCTACACTGAAACCACGGTATACAATGTGTATGAGTTGAGTGTGTGTAAGTGGGCGGGGTTTGCCTGTGTGTTCACCTCACAGCAAACAGCATCTTCAGCTTTGCACTTGACTGCGCGTACTTTGTCCATGTTAGCCCTGAGCAGCAGAGAGGGGGAGAGAGAGAGTTTTGTTTGAGTACAAGGAGAAGCACATAGACACAAAGACAGCCATTAACTCTTTCACTACCAGGGGGTTTTCCTCACCTGGACCGGGCCCTATCTGTGACCTACTTTCTGATTCTGCCTACTTTCAGACAAATTAAAGATTTTGAGTTCAATTTCAATAATAGGCAAATGTATCATATATGAAAAATAAAGGGGAAATAATGAACTACCTCAACATGTTACTAAAAATTATCATTCTTCAGCCTGAGATCCCAGTTTTCATCATTACAAAAGTAGGACTGGTTTTGAAGTAGGAAGTGGCGAGTCGTGAAACACTGCTTGCAGTCCAGCTCGCAGTAGTGAAAGAGTTAAGTGCAAGGACAAAGCAAGATAGACTGACGGAAACGACAGAGAAGAAAAGAAAGGAAATCGCAGCAGGAGTAGCACCTTCCAACCACTACAGGAGAAATAGAAGCGACAAGGTTCATTGCCCCATGCTGAAAACACATCCTGAGACATACGGTAACGCTAGACCCAAGCTTCCAAACAAGTCATGACATTGTAATATTAACATCACTTAGATTCAACTTGGACTGTAGTTTTTAATCTAAAGTAAACTTGAATAATCAGCACAGAAAGGTCATTGGGAGGGCCAAGAAAACAGGAAAGGACAACAAAGACGAAAAACATGAAAAAATGTTTTTTTTTAAAAAAGACCAGAACACTGATCATTCTCTTCAGAATAAGTACAAGCATGCCCTCACACAAAACTCATACAGTGCTGGAGACAGGCAAGCCGGCAAACATACAAATCAACCACATTTTTTTTTCTTTAATGAAAGGCGTTCTTCACAAAAATGATAAAGCTTTCGAAACGTCAGAGCACTACAACTTATGGGGAAAAGACTGAAAATAACAGACACAAGCTTACACTGTCTCCTGTCAGATACAAATTGGACCAAACAAAAGAATGGCAAAAGACCCTCCTGGACTGACAAGAAAGAAAGAGTTTTAAGGCACTTGCAACACAATAAGGTCATATACAGGTAACAAACACTAAAAAGGAAGAGCAATTGGGACAATGGATATTTGATAGGAAAGGAGCAAACCACACCGAAGAACCCGCCAACCACCCACAATCCCAAGACAACTTCGCCTTATCGAGGATAAACACAAGTTACAGCTATGTTGTACCACAGCATGAACCCTACTTATCACTTGATTTAGTAAGATTTGTATGACACTTGCAACATAATAAGGACCTATAAGTGCGAAAGATCAGAGGTGTTACAAGAGAGTAACAAACACAAAAAAGGAAGAGAGATAGGCAGACTTGCCAACCCCACAAATTCCCTTTGCTTATTTTTCAGGCTTGGTAATCATGTTTTGTTTTAGTTTGAAAATAAAATGTTTATCTTGCGACATGGTTTACAGCTCTATTGACATTCCAAGACCGAGAAACCAAAACTCACTGGGATTTCAGCAGTAACCCCCCCCACCCCCAAAAAAAACGAAGGCCCGAACGCAAACAAAATTTCCTACATCAAATGCTAATTAATTTCCAATTCCGATACTTGATGGAGAAAAACAAGAGCTATCAGCAATTGCTCGCATATTCTCAACTCATAATGAGTACTCGAATTATTCGGACTTGGGCAACACTGACAAATTCCACGCCTTCCACAAGGAGAGGTAGAGACCTGGGACAAGTTTTACGATCAGAGTAGGGCTCAATAGCTCGTTTCAAGCAATGGCGATCATGCTAACCGGAACATCAAAAATGCGTACTTAGTCGTTTTGACACCTATCTGCGTATTGCTGACAGTTTTGTGTACTAGAATACGCAATTGCTTACAGGTTGGCAAGTCTAGACAGGGAAGACAGATGTTCGAAAGGAAAGAGGGAGCAAACCACATCAGAGCATCTGCAAACCACCCACCTTCCTTATCAGGGCAAGTCGAGAACTGTTCATCCTGTCTCAAACATATGGCTGAAATATGGTACTTTCTACCAGACATGAGAGTAACTAATTAGCAGTGTAAGACATTCGCACAAGAACATATGCATTCCTCCAGGAACAGATTGTAAAAAAAAAGCACTACTGAAAAGAACAGGCAAAACCACACCAGAGCACCCATCAATCATTCGCTTCTATGAGCAGCCCAAGAAAGAATAATGAGTTCTATCTTGAGAACAAGCACAAATGTTAAAAAGGTAAAAAGCATCCCAACTAGGCTGGACATGAGAAGTTCTCCACACTGACCTGAGCACAGACAAGCTTCGGGCTCCGATGTCCTGGCATCCGTGTTGAATGCCCGCGATAAGGTAGGGCATGAACTTGTGGATGGAACCTTTGTCAACGATGGAGCCAGACACGCCTTGCGCAACTTTGATCTTCTCACTCTCACTGAAATAATGAAACAACCAAAGTTATCACACCAGAAAAGAAAAACGACACATGCACTTAATGAACAACACATGAGCATCTAATCTGAACATAGTCTATTCCATCTGCTACCGGAGAGTCAACTTGACTGCACAGAACTTCCATTGTGGAACGGCAACTTTAAAAAACCCAGTTTCATCTTTTCCACCAGTGAAAAAAAGCCCTCTTGACAAACTCACAATTTAAAAAAAATAATATACCCTTGCCTGCCCTCAAACTATTTGCCATTTCATTCAAAAATAGAATGGCCGCGAACAAAAAGTATTGCTCAGTCTAATCACCAGTTACCCTAAAGTGCCAAAGTGAAAGCAAAGAATGTAAGGAGACACTCATCAGAACAGTACATCACCTTAAGTGCATCATATACAGGGCATAATACACATATTTTACCTGAAATATCTGCTCTGGGAGGCCTTGTGTTGTTCCATCGCATCCAGAGACCCCATGCCACGATATTTCTTCAGGCGAACACCGTCGGCAAAGAAATATTCACCAGGAGCCTCTGAGGTACCCGCCAGCATGGAACCCATCATTACTGTAGAGAACGCACATATATTCAGTTTTAGTTTTTATACAAAATTTACAGCACTTGCAACATGATTAGGCAGGATGACTGCCGAACCGGCTTCTCAATTTTTCAGAGGCATGTTACATAACAATGATGACAGCACGTGCCCCAATTTAATATATAACATACACACACATAGTACCTAGCCAACATTATATCCAGTCAACAAAATGTCAGTGTGGCACTGGAGTCATGTGACTTTGGTATTTCAGTCGGTTCTAACGTAATTAATATTTTCCCCTCATCATTTTAAATATATTATACAAACTAATTATAAAAATGAATCAAACTAATTATAAAAATGAATCCTGCTTTGAGCCTGTGAAAGGGCCCAGAACCAGAATATCGACTGTCAAGAACCAGTCTTGGTGTCATTATTCATTTTATAAACGTGAAAGACAAAAATTATTGCTCAAACTCAAAGCAGAGTAAAAACTTGAATGGCTCTCAAGTAGACCTATTCAGTGTGACAGTTCTAAGAACTGAGAGAGGGCAAGATGCAGTGACACTAAAAATCTGAAAAACTTGAACAGAAAGCTAAAATAGTCATAATTCACTATCACCCATCCAATGAAAGGCAAACACTTTAGTTCAATAACAAGGCTTACAAGGTATGAATGATCCCGATTCCACACACGGCCACAAAGTGCTCTTTGTAAAGAGCTCTAATAAAAAAAAATTCTAAAATCTGCTTCCAAGTCTTTTGTCCCCTGGTGTTTCCTTCTGTACCCCCCCCCCCCCCCCCCCCCCCCCCCCCCCTTTCCTGAGCGTATCCTTTTTAAAAAAAATCAATAATCCCCCTTCCCCTGAGTTCTGTACTTCCCAACGTTCAGACTTTGAATAAACTTTGGTGACCCCAACAACTGTCGGTACTCACACGATGCCGTACCATGTGACGCAAACACGCACAGGTTCACTGACCGGTCACGATCACGAGCCCGGCAAGCTGAAAATCGGACCATGCTTTTCTTTTCTCACATGTGACAGCACAGTGACAAATACTGATTTATTTTCATGGCCACGCAGCGTTTATAATGCATGACTAGCATGTCACAACAAATGTTGCGTTATCAGACTATCACCGGCAAAGTTCTGGGTAATAATGAAAGCAAATCTTGATATTACCAATCAAGCCTCAGTGTCACACCTCTGCCTGCCGCCATAGCCGCCTATTCGCGTGAAATATACTCTCGAACCGCGAAAAGCCGAACGAATATCACAATCGCGACAGGCAAAAATGAACTTACTGACCTCATCGGAATTCGTTTTCAAATATTCGATAACTTTATGTATTTTCCCGGGCCCTCATAGAAATAACTCAGTATGTCCACACTTCAGAGATCGAAAAATTGACAAACCTGTAGAGGCACCAAGCGACAGCGCTTTGATGATGTGACCGACAGAAGAGATTCCTCCATCTGCTATCACAGGAACGCCAAAACGTCTGGCGTATTCAGCCACCTTGTAGACAGCTGTGCCTTGTGGACGACCAACAGCCATCACTGGAGAGGAAAGTGAAATAGTCATGGAGTCTAACATTCTATTTATAGAAGTGTAGGCAGAATATCAATTGTCAATATCGGCTTTAGGAAGGAAAAAAACATCAAAATTATATCAGTCGTATCTGAAGCTTCAAGTTCGTGTTCTTTTAAATTTCTTCGAGAGGCACAACTAAAAGAGAAGTACAAACAGCAAGACGAGCTCACTTTGAATACATCGGGTGTGCGTTTTTTAAATTATCTCATGCTATAATAACTACACACTGAGACATAATATAAGAAATATTATGAAGCTCGTTTAAGGCAAAACTAAAACCTAATCAGAACCCAGTGTCTATTCCATTTATTAACTTCAGACATTTTAATCTCTAACTTATTAGTTATTCAAATCTTTACATCATACCACATTCCTCTACACTCTAAACTCACCTTCTTGTGTAATGCAGATAGAGCCACTGCCCATGCCCACACGCAGTCCATCAACACCGGCATCTATCAAGTTTTTGGCTTGGGCAGCAGTCACAACTGGAAATTGAAAGAGAAGATTTTTTTCTGAATTCATCACCGACACAAATATTCCAACTACATCCCGTGCAGCCAGACACAGAGATCACATTTCGAAGATACATATTTAGACAAAAAGTAAAAGCAAAGGGAGAGGAAGAAAGGTAGAAAAAAACCACAAACAGAAGCTTATGCTCTACAACGTACACACACAAATAGACAAACTAGGACAAACCAAGCTTTAGTGGAAACAGACCAAGGATGATGACAACATCACCAACAATTGTTAGATGTTTATTTTTTTTTTTTTAATAACATTTGTGTCACGACGCGTTGGAATCAGGCACTCGTCAGTATTTGGGAATGTGGAGTTATTGGTATCATCTGAAAGCTGATTTATTTGCCTTGCTTCCAATGAAATAAATATCCATTTACTTTGAACAGAACTCAAAATATTTGGGATTGAAGGAAGTGAGGTCGCCTGGTTTCAGTGGTGAAATTAGCGAGGCAATGGCCGCCAAAGTTTGGTAACTCCAATAGCTAGAGTCATTGAAAACTGAAAAATGACATATTTTGTGCCTTTAATCAATGTTTATCAGTAAAATTCACATGAAAATGTGTTTTTATATGGACACAAAAAAGGTAAAGCCAAAAAACAAAAGTTCAATAAAAATTTCCAAACCCACACAAAAATTTTTTTTAATGCATTTCTCCGATTTTGTTATTTTGACGAGCGCCTGATTTCACCATGCCGCCTCACATTTATGCTTCTTCTCGGCCCGAAAAAAGTACTCCAAAAAAAGTAGAGAAAGAAAGACGGAGAGAAACAATCTCAATCAACAAAGGGCACACGAAAACACTGTAAAAAGAGTGCACTAATATTTATTTGTCATTGCCACCGTTATTAAAAGCCCATGCCAACAAAAAACACATAAAAGAATTAAAAGACAGCACAAATCGACTGCTTAGTGCTGTGCAAGATTCCATCGTACATCGCTTTTCAAAATGGCATATGGCAGAGTCTTCCACTAAGCAGTCAGGGTGTACTAGTCTTCCACTAAGCAGTCAGGGTGTACTAAGAACATATCAGACTGTGTCCTTTAAGTCTGTCCTTACCATTGCCTCCAACAATTTGTGTGCTTGGGAAGTTCTGTTTAATGTGGCGGATAAGGTTGATCTGGTACACAGAGTTTCCTTGGCTTGAGTCCTGGGAGGAGCAAAACAAGAAACAATGGTCAAAGTATGGCGTGGTAGGACCTGTAAAACTCAGTAACAGGCAGGAAGGATAAAAGCTTTAAAGCCCTAGTCAACCTGACAAAGCCCCTTGGTGCAACATGCAGTTATTGTAGTCGTAACACATGGTGAGTCAAAACAAGAAGATCCACATGTCACCAGGAACAGATTAGACAGTACAAGTAAAGTGTACCCTCTATCTCAAACTGCTTAACCCAGTATACAACATTCGGGCTCACTTTTGGGTTACAGCTGTATCTTCTAGGAACTGTAAACTGTGGGCTGTGATCATCATTATACGCAAGGACAACACATGCTACACTTTACTTTTACTGACTGGGCTAGTAGAAAGAGAAACACTGAAAAGAATTAATGAGTAGCAGACTTGCCAACCACTCCATGATTTAGACTAGTTTACCTCAGAATCCCCCCAAAACTTTGGTAGCCCCCCAAACCCCAGTTGATTAAGATTACATTTAAAAAACTACAAACTGGCAGTAGCAAATTAACGTGTATTGCAAGTGCAAACAAATAAAAATGTGTATTTTCATTATTTTCATGACATTCCATTTAACACAAGTCCCGTAAAACCTGATGGAAATGAAATTCAGGAAAAAATTGGATTCTATGCAAATCTAATTGTAGTTCTTCAGGGTGTAAATCAGACAACTTCGATTTTATTGGTGTACTCTGCAGGTCTCGAGTGCGCCACACCGGAGCATCCACCAACCACTCACCACAGGCAGCAAGGACAAGTTCAGAGCGAGCAACACAGAAAATACTTGAGAGACTGGACAAAAATACGTACCAGCACCAGGAAGTCGACACCAGCATTCACCAGTAGCTCTATCCTGTGTTTGTCGTCTTCATGAGTTCCCACAGCTGCACCCACAATCAGCTGCTTCCTAAAACACAAACCACAATATATGAGCTCACAAAAATAAACAGAGAATTCTCGCCCAAAACAGCAACAGCAGAGTGACTGGTACACTTTTTGCAAATGAATTCGTATGTTAAAGAAAATTACAGAACAGCTTGCCAGTGATAAGTATAAATCTTAGTCATCTCAATTTCCCTTGAGAAAGAACCAGGAAGTCTACAAAAGTAAAGGTTGGGACGGGACATAAGATGTATTTAACCCTTAGAGGGCTGTGGTCGCGACGGCCCGAACTTCCATTAAGTGCTGACCACGACCGCGATAGACATAGGCATAGTATAACGTGATGTACAAAAAGAACGAAGTACTAATTTTTATACTGCTGGCCGGTAGGCTAGAATTGATTTCGCCCGCAATTTTTCTTGTCACGGGGTTCGATCGCCTCGCGAGGAGTTTTTTGTTTCACGGTGAACTTGGAAAATTTGCAATGAACATGAAAATAGTGTCGCATCAGATTCAGATGAAGATGTTCCGTGTATTTTCCTTGAATCGGAAGATGGTTTTGACGGTTTTGATGCTAGAGCTAATACTTTGTGGAATATAACGTAGGCCTACGAAGCACCTCGACTCTGGTCTAGATCTATAGATCTAATGAACCGACAGTTTTTATTCAGTCATTTCCAACACCACTACTACAAAAATAACTTCACAAAATACTTTTGGCTTCACATATTCATAAAGAACTTTCAATATTCTAAAACTTTTATTCTTACCTTCATTAGAAATGTTGACAAATAAAGTTTATTAGAAAAAAAAAGCGCATGTGCAAATCTGGCACTTTTCCAAAATAAATTCAGCACAGAGGGAAAATATAAGGGGGAAATAAGTCAGCGCCTTAAGGGTTAAGACTAGACTTTAACCAATCTGTCTCGCTCATTCAATTAATTAGTGACAATGTGAAGACTTACTTGTCATCTTTAGAAGCCAGGGGGAACTCCCTATTTTTCTTCATGTCTGTGCGAGCAATGAGGGAGACCAATTCCCCCTTGTCATTCACAATGGGAAGTTTTCCTGTCAAAAAAAAACAAAAAAATAAATAAATAGATAACAGCACTTTGACAGAAAAAAAGCTATACGATGCAGTTTATTTTAATTGCATGATATAAATGCATCTTCAAACACAAGACAGAAAACATAAAAAAATATGGGCCACTTTCTCGAGCAGTCGACAAAAAAACTTATCAAACAACACCAGTGGGGCCAATCGTGCATCAAAAGTAAAGCAATCCACAAATAGAATATGCCAAACACAGGTAAGCAGGGAGTTGATGTATGGTATTAAATGAAATCGGCTCCCCTAGACTAAGCAACATACCTTTTTTGCTTTTCTGCAAAATATGATTTGCCTCTTTCAGAGTCACATTAGCCTCAGCCACAATCAAATTTTCCACACCAGTCATGACCTGTGGAGAGCGAATACCAGTAGACATATGTAAAAAGAGAAACAACCTGATAAATAACGTAACTCTGCTACGTACATCAAAGGCAACACAAAGTTTGACAAGCAGACAAGGGTTAACAAACTTAGTTCAGCTGAAAAAATTAAAATAAATGTGTGTGTGCCTGGTGAAAGGGACCACATGTCGCATTTTCTCAAACCGAGATATCAGGCTTCAAAGGTCAAAAATAGAATTTTTGACAAAAACTAAGTTCCATTAAAAATGGATTCTTCAGCCATTTATTTATTGATATTTACAAGGATTTGGGTTATTTTGACTTTAAAATACATTTTAAAAGGTGTTTTTTAACCCGAGGTATATTGCATAATCCCAAAAATGCGTGAGGAAACTGGCTTTCAGGGTAAACACTGCGGATGGTTTCTCTTGTCCATTCATAAAGTCGACCTAATCACATTGCATACTAAAATTTAGGTCATTCTCTCTGCTCTCCAATGGCAGGTAGTGCGCATGAATATCTAGAACATGTAAACAAAGCGAAACTTCTGCGCATCCATACCCTTTTGTTTCTTTGGAGAGCAAACTTGTATCGCCTATTTCTGCCCTGTGCAAACCGTATTTCTTGAAATTCCTGTTCAATGTGGTGGTGAATTTGTTTTGAAGACGTAATATAAACACTTAGAAGCTGTTCTTTTATTGTAGAGCTGCTTTTTAAAGTTGGTTTGTGAGACGCGACTGTGTTGTCAGGTCGTCTCGAAGCACAACAACACGGCGGAGCTGCCAGCTGTTACTACTACCAGTACTGTTAGTAGTAGATCTAGATCTAGTACTAGATCTAGATCTAGTACTGCTATTCGTGAGCAGGAAATTGTGTCTCTTCTCAATTCTCTTAGACGCATTGGAATGTCAGAATGGCAACTGAAGAAGACATTAGAGATGTAATATGCGATTATTTCGTTTCTTACGTCGATTTGGGAGAAGAGGAAGAAGATGAGTTCGATCTGTGGTGCCATCGCCAGTTCCAGACCCCGCACTTGAAGCAGAACCGAGCGAAGCAGGTAAAGATTAACAACAACAAAAACAACAGTGATAATAGAAATAGATTTAGATTTAGCAAACTAATAATTATTTATTATAATGATAATTAATAGTAATAATTATCATTACACTGTTCTTTCTTGATAAACCTAGATCTAGATCTAGATCTAGTTTAGATCTAGCTTACTCATAGTAGTGCATTTTTGTTTTCTTAATTCTAAATGTATGCAGAACAAAATTTCATTTATTCCTGGGAGAGTCTGGGTTCTAAGATCTGGATATGTGGCAATCTTGTTAAGTGGGTAAGGAACAAAAAGTTTTCCTTTGACCCTGATGATTGATAGTGTTAAGTTCCCTAGTTACTGTGGTGAAGATACTTTTTTTGCCTGTGTGTTGCAGGAGATGAAGGGGGAGGGAGGGGGGTTCAAGTTTTTAAACAAAACAATAACAATTATGAACATGATTTAACAACATTATATTTCAGCAACAGCAAAACCTTTTTACTAGAATGGTGACTTGTTATGAAAAAAGGGTGTTCTGTTTTTGTTTTTTCTGCAGACAAAGGTGAAACTTAAGAGCCGTTTTTCTCAAAACTTTGTTTCCGTACCCTGCCTTACAAAATCGTCCATATCTCAAAAACTACTGAAGATATCTTCAAAATTTAAAAAGCACATTGTTCAGAAATGAATTCTGTACAAGGAAATGCCAAAAAACTGGATTTTTCAAAATGCGACATGTGGTCCCTTTCACCAGGCACACACAAATGTCTACCATACAAGTGAAGAGTGAGTTAACTCTTATCCTGCGTCTGTGCCGAGATGCGTATCTTATCAGCAACCGATTACGTAGGACGTGCCGGGCAGGCCGCCGGGGTCACTCAGTATGTACTGTTGGTGTACAGTGCGCGCGCCGGGAAACGTGTTTTCGCCATGAATATCGCGAGAGTGTGTTAACCGATGATGAAAATAACGCTATCTTTCATAGCTTTCTATTTATAAAGTGTTACAAACACATGAATAACCCCCTCTCACAAGCTGATAAGACATTACGAGTAGTTACGCCCATTCGGATAACCTTTCTGGATGCTCTTGTTGTTATGAATGACCTGAGGTTCGAAAGGGGATAGTTTAGGTCAATTTCCGAATGTTTTACACTCAAATTGTTCTTTGTACCTGCACAATGGTATTCAAAACTATCAAACAAGCTTACTTTCTATTAGGGATTGTATCATTTCATTAAAAATCAAGCTCATTTGAAATATTTTGTACAGAAAAATGGAAGTCTTGTTTCCTGACTAACCTTTCAAGCTCCTCACGTCTAAGTGGGTCAATTTCTTCTATAATTTCATTGGACGAACATCTAGAGCTACTAACTTGGCATGTTTTGAATGAGACGCATACCTCGATTACGAACCAACGCAGGCGGTTCTAGAAGAAGGCCACAAACGCACACAAACTCAAGCAGACTGACGCACACACATTTGACCTGCGTGAATGGGGATCCGACTCCGGACCCGAATGACATGTAAGAGGATGCGCGCTGCGTGTGCGCTGAGCCAGGGCCTACACTGATTCGGGACCAGAACGTAGGCGAGGTGCCGAAATAGGCTTATCGGGCGACATAAACCCGGCTCCCGCAGGATGAGGGTTAATTAGGGTACCTCAGTGTGCTAGTCAAGTAGTGTACCAGAAAGAGCACATCTTGTAAACAAGAGAAGTGATAAGAGTTCATCCCCTTTCCATAAAACGAAAGCTAAAGCGCTCAATTTGTCTTAGACAGAAAGCTCAAAAATGAAAAAAAAAAGTCCCTAGGACCATACACCCACTGCACTTTTAGTTGACAGAATGTCTGTCAGAAAAGATAAATAGCATTTTCATGAATGAAAAGCAGAGCGCTGGACAGCTTACATCAGCAAGAACAGTGCAACAAACTTACATCTGCAAGACAAGTGGAGTGCTCTGACTCATTCAAAAAGTCAATGTCTCTCTGAGTGACCAGGCCCACCAGCTTCTCCCCCATGTGGCCGTTGGTGGTGATCGGGATGCCAGAAAAGCCAAACTGCCTCTTTGCAGCCACAACGTCGCCCACAGTGTGCTTAGGGGACATGACAATTGGGTCCAGGATAAAACCTTGTTCATATTTCTGAGGGAAAAGAAAACAAACAGTCCTTTTAAGTTTTAGTAAACGTTTTACGGTACTTGCAACACAATAAGGTCATATAAGTGCCGAAGATTACAGGTGTTACAAGAGAGTAACAAACACAAAATAGAAGGAGGGGAGAAAAAGACAATAGATGTTTGATAGGAAAGAAGGAGCAAACCACACCAGAACACCCGCCAACCACCCACAAACAAACTAAGAGTCCATATCTATAACATTAAATTGAAAGAAAAATCAGTACTTGTACCTCCGAAAATCGTCATCTCAGCTCATGCCGACAAACAAGATGTGATTATTCAAAGACATTTATTTTAGAATTAGTAAGTTTTACAGCACTTGCAACAAAATTAGGTCATATAAGTGCTGAAGATTAGAAGAGTTACAAGAGAATAACAAACACAAAAAAGGAGGAGAGATAAGGATGATAGACATTTATTTGGAAATAAAATAAGGGACATGGAGTATGATAAGACAAAATACTATACTATTTAGTTTAGTTTTAGTAAGAGTTTTTTTGCACTTGCGTTACACACCAGAGCCCCTGCCAACAACCACTATGTCAACTTTGTCGACTTTGATCCCTTACCTTCACTTTTCGTACTTCATTCGCTTGGAACTCAGGTTTGCAGTTGTGGTGAATCACTCCCACTCCTCCGCACAACTATTTCAAATAAAAACAAGAGAACAAAAGATTATCGACAGTGTTTGTGTGGTTTAATTCGCTGCGATTACCTGGCAACCCACATAAACGTGAAATTAGTGTAGGAACCAAGTGTAGTGAGCGCATGGGGGGTATAAAAAGGTGATGCGAAATTTGAACCAGTATTCCCAGCCGCGACTTAGACTCGAGCTGAGATTGACGCGACTGGTTGGTCGACGTAGGGGATGGAACTCCGGACCTGTAAGACCAACACACATTGTTTCCCGCTCGAAAGTGTAAGTATTGAACACAACCATAGATAACGAGTAGAATCTAGGATTAGATCTAGCACTTATCATCTCATTACAGTTTGTCTTTCAGTTAAATAGTTTTAGTCGAGTGTTTACGGTGCTCCCAACTGCATAAGGTCATATGAGCGCCAAGAGGTGTATGTCAACAGAGAACTCCATACAGGGAATCAGGCTTACTCTGCTCACCTCTTTAGCTTCAACAGTACAAAGTCTGCTTCGACTATCAAGGCACATAGGAAACAGCTGGTCGCAAGATTGTGACAAACATACAAAAGAAGTAGAGAAAAATGACAATAGTAAGGATTGGGAAAGAAAAAGCAGCAGTTCCCCATATGCAGTTCAGGCAGTTATGAGCATGACATTGATGAATCAGCCCATTAACAATTCTACTAAGCATAAGAACATAATAATGTCTCCCCTTTGGGAATGGCCTAAAGACACTCCAGTCAGTAGCAACACCCCGAGGGATGAACGTTTGTTGCCAAAAAAAAATTAAAATTAAAATTCATACAAGTCAGTTTATTTAGTTATTTCAGTATTGATAATTTCTCACATTTGCATACCAAGGTCAACACAAACATACAGATAGAGATGGGGACGGGGAAGGGAGGGAAGGGAGGGAAGGAAGGAGGGAGAGAGAGAACGAGAGAGAGAGGGGGGGGGGGGGGGGGGGATTTTGCTTTGCTGAACCATGCAATACATGTACGGTAATCCTCAGATTAGAACACTTAATCTTATCAGCAAGAATTAATTCCATGCATATTCCTGAACAGCCAGAATTAAATCTGTGCTGTCATTAATACTTTGCATTTCTGTAACGCTGACAATTTTGGATTAAGATCTGTCTCGTTTACATACCTAAAAATTAACAATCTGCAAAGTGACTAGCGAGATTAAATGAAAAATAAAAACAGGTGTATTGTAGAAGTATTTGAGTAACATTATGACTTAGGAAGTGTCCCAGATTCTAGATCTAAAGAACCGGACAGAAATGTGTCTTTAAACAGGGGAAGAGAAAACGAACACTCAGTGTCCTGGCCGATTGGCGTAAATACTCAGTGCACAACCAGGGCGAAAAGTCTGTAAATATTTCAGTAATCATCAAATTAAAAATTCTATTTTGGCTTTAAAATTAGTAATATGGCCATGGATAGTCTTCTTCCCTGGGGTGTCGAGGACAGGATTTGTAGCCAAGGAAGTAGAAATGTAACATAAACAAAGGCATGATGACAAGATGTGTTGGCAAGCTAATCAATGTTGAATTAAGAACCCACAACACAAAAGGGTGGGGATTTTTTTACACCTTGTCAACCAAATGTTTATGTCATGTACTTCTGGCTTTGTTACTTCTGAAGTTAAATGTTTTTTCAAGGGTAAGTGGCCCTGAGCCACTACAAGTAATAAAGGCACAATACAAAGACAGTGTTAAAGTAAAACAGCTGCAAATGACGTAGTGACGCAGACTGTCCAGGTCTGGTAGTAGATTGGGGTAGCCTAACTTTTTTTTTTTAAATCAGAATCAGGGGTATTACAATCGGATTTGTCTAAAACTAAATAAATACTATAACGATTTCGCCAAATTCATGATGGGCAGGTCCGCATAACACACTTTACTCCTGAAAACAAGTAAATGCAGCTACGTTTTATTTCAAAAAGCCTTTCACTTTGTTGCTCCAATTTTTGTATCAAAGAAAAATAAGCATCAGAAATTTAGATCTTCCCTTCTACCCCCAATAATTTCTGTGACACATAGCGGCCTCTGCAAAACAGAAGAGGGTAGCATTGCAAGGAATTTATGTTCTTTTGAGAGACGAAGGCAGTACCATGCACTCTTAGTCAGAATGTCTGCATTTCTCATCAGGACAGAAGGTGTAGATTTGAAGGTATAGTAAAAAACAGAGGGGCCAATTGCAGACCAAGGAAGAATGATTGGAAAAAAAAAAGAAAAGAAAATCTTCTGCCCTGGTATTGAGAATCTGGCAGAAGACTATCATCATTGATCTATTGTAACAGGAAGAGAAACATACCGCCATAGCAATAGCCATCTGGGATTCTGTGACAGTGTCCATGGGGGAGGAGACCAGTGGAGCCTTCAGGCTGATGTTCTTGGTAAGTGCTGAGGTCAAGTCCTTCGAAGTTGTGAGAAATAAAAATTATTATATCTTTAGCTCATGACTTACACAGAAAACAAGATAACTTATTTCAGATAAACAAAAAGAAAAGTAGTTTTTTGAATCCAGACAACAGAAAAAGTTTCCTAATCCAAGTATTCAGAAACACTTCTTGAAAATAAAAGCCAATCTAATTCTATAATCTAATCTGCATTTTTTTTAAAACCTCTCTTAGGTCTAGCATTTGATATTAAGAGTGAGAAAAATCTAAGATGAACTTTTAGAACACATAAGTCACTGCCCAAAACTAAAACAATTCAATATATGACCGTTTTCCCCCCTCCCTTTGAATCAATCAGGAGCAAACTCAAACTTTCATTTTTATAAAACAAAATCAGAGTCTAAATTTCAAAGCACATGTATATCATGAGAAAACAGAAAATAAATGAGTTGCTTACCACTTCTTTTGCAGCAAAATCTATGAAGCCAGGAAGAATCAGGAAATCACTGTAAATAAAGAACAATACTTTATGTATGTAAGTAGTATAGGGTTTTACGGCGCTCGCAACTGCTAAGGTCATATGAGCGTGCAACAATACTTTATGATGAAACCGAAAAGACAAACAGTAAGAACAAATATATTCTCACATCATGACGTCTGGATTACCAGCCAGTCTCACAGACTACATTCACACTGTAACAACTAAAAGTTCTTATATGTAAGACACTATATTAGATGCCAAACTAGAGCTTGACTTCACCCATGTGTTGAGTCGATCCCTAAAAATGAGTAGATTTAAGAGTCAAAGTACACCCCCCATTATTACATGAGAGGTCATGTAACAGGCCAGTATATTTAACACTACAATTCATCTAAGAGATTCAATCCCACTTTGAGGTGGAAAACATCCACAGTCCACTCACAGCTTGTTTTGCAAGTCAGCAAAACAATTGGATGTCACACAAAAGTTAAAAAAAAAATCTAAGCACAAAATTACAATGCACCATCCACCACTGGAGGCACTGAATGTGCTGACAAAGTTTGTTACGCCTAGGTTATAAAATATTGTTTTAAAGAAAATGATTTGATTGTCTCATATTTGAGAAGGACTTGGTTAATTTAATACTTTTTAGTCTAAGTTATGACAATAATTAATCAGTCACCAATCAACTTTGGAGGGACTGCAAAGAGGACGGATAACTTACTTGTATGTGAGGCCATCCCCAGAGCCAAACAGCTGATGTCCAGTCATGCCATCATCAGGAACATATCCAGTCCCTCCAGTGATAAGATAGTCAGCCATGCTGTGAAGAACAAAGAATTCATGACATCTAGGCTAACTATGAATTCGAGTTCGAGTCCGGAACGTTATTTATTCAGACTTGGTAAATTCGGGTAATAGTCTCCATCCCCATATTTCCTGATAGTGTTTAATTCTGAGTAGGCTATAGGGCCCTTGATCGCTTTAGAAGAAGAAATTGACAGTTCAGTGCAAAAGAATCGAATTGTATTGTTACAGAAAACAATTTAATTAGGCTTAGGCCTGTAAGGGAAATCTGAGGGTAGAATACCTTACCTTTTTACCCAAATCCAGCAATTTTTAAAAAGTCTAAATTCGATAAGAGGAATGCCCACATCAGTGCAAGACTAGATCTAGAATAGCTTCCAAAAAAGGCCACATATATTCTCACCCCCCCCCCCCCCCCGAGGGGTCTCTCTCTCTCTCTCTCCCTCTCTCTCTCTCTCTCCCCCCCCCCCCCGAGGGGTGGGGGATGAAGGCAACATCGGATGACACTGCCTGGTTACCGTGTAAATCAATATTTGTCCTGTGCTGCCACTTGCTGAAAAAAAAGAAAGTCATACAATACAAGCATCGTGACCGGTCAGTGAACCTGTGCCTGTGCATCACATTGTGAGTACCGGTTGAGGTCACCAAAGTTCATTCATATTTTTGTTAATTAAAATGTAATTCGGCCTGCTTCAAGCGTTCCATACCATGAGATGAAGGAAGTCTCTTACAGAATAGTCGGGATATGGGATATGGAGAATTACGATTCAGAATAATGTAAAAACACTTTTCGCCCCTCCAGTAAAAAATATCTCTCACTACCGACGCTACTGCGCGGGATGTGAGACCGGCCGGACCATTCGTAGTTTACACACTTAATGATGGCAGGCCTCTCTGCCTGCACACAACAAATTATGGTTCAAGGAACAGAGAGCGTGTACGAACGTAACGTGACACGAGACTAGATTCTAATGCTCTTGCACGACGGTAGAAGGGTTGTAAAATATTCAGACCAAATGGGCGAAGGCGTTAAATCATGTTAACTAGTTAAATAACTAAGCAATCCAAGCTTTTTTTTCATTTTCATATTTTTTTCTTTTAGGCCTATTTTTTCTTTTTCTTTTTTTCTTCGTTTCCTTCTTTAACATTTGGAGTTTGGAGCCAAAAAAAAAAGAGCCAAAGAGCCAACAGAAATTCTCCGGGCCAGGCGCAATCCAAAAGAGCCAAATTTCTGGGACTTGGCTTCAAACTGACACCCCTGACTGTGACCATTCAGTCAGACACGAACACGATCCTGTGGAGCATCAGCCACGGTAACCTCAGCCCTGGCCCCTCTACGGTCATTTCCCCGTAACTGGAGTGCCTACGTACACGGTAACCGGGCACCTTGCCTCAGTGTATACGTACACAATAACTGGCAATCGGGCAAGTAGTCTCAGTGTCACGTACACAGAAACCGGGCATGTAGCCTCAATATCTATGTACACGGTAACCGGCAACCGGGCATGTAGTCTCAGTGTGACGTACACTGTAACCGGGCAGTTCAGAACTCCAAGTTTAGTTTTTGTCATCCGGTGTTGCCTTCATCCCCACCCCTCCCCTGACGGTACCTAAAAAAAAAAAAAGAAGAAGAATTCCCCCCATTCCAGAGCCCTATACTTCGCAGCACACAGACTTTGAATGAACTTTGGTGACCCCAACCGGTACTCACAATATGTGATGCACAGGCACAGGTTCACTGACCGGTCATGATGGCGAGCCCGACAAGATGCTTGTATTGTATGACCTTCTTTTTTTTTAAAATTCAGCAAGTGACAGCACAGGACAAATATTGATTTATTTTCATTCCGGTTACCGTGTACGTTGATACTGAGACTAGGTGCCTGGTTACCGTGTACGTAGACTAGGGATGGGCAGGTACCGACACCCAGTACCGGAACTCCCGGTTCTACCGAAGGAGGTGTCAGTACCGACACCTGGCCTCCAGTACCGGCTCTGGGAAAGAGCCGACACCAACGGTTAGTACCAGCTATGGGAAGGTCACGATGGCGAGCCAGACAAGACGCTTGTAAGACCTTCTTTTTTTCAGCAAGTGGCAGCACAGGACAAAATATATTGATTTATTTTCATTCCGGTTACCGTGTACGTAGACACTCCGAAAGCATTAAGTTTAAGTACGGCTAGCCTTTTCTATGGAAAAATTAGATCATGAAATATATACAACATCATGTTGATACAAAATTGGTAAGATCGAAGAATACCGGACCAGCTGACTGACTTTGCTTATGTCTCAACCTTAGGAATTCATGATTTTCCCCAATTTTTATCTCTCAATGGAGAATCTCGGACCGGTAGATCTATTCATTTAGATTTTGTCAAGGGGGAGGCCCCCCTCCCCCCCCCCCCCCCCACATTCTCGCGCAATAATGTATATGAGTGGTTCGGTATTCTTCAACTTCAATCTTCCTCAAAATTGTTTGTGTAAATCAGTTAACATAGATCTAGAGGCCTCATTTCACGGCATAAACATCAAATTCAGAGGATAATTCATGGGCGCTTTTTCGCGGTAGTTCCCACCCTCCTTATGTGAGCCTAGATCTACATCTAGAATCTAGATCTATACGTTTGATTCGCGGCGAGCTAAAATAACAAACCTAACAACTGCAAAACATCAACCCCCCCAACATATATTTCTATCAGTCCCCCTGAAATCCCCATACTACTACTCTTGGGGCCAAAACGGGCCAATGACAATTGCGGGGTGGGAACAACCGAAAAAGTGCCAATTCATTATAACAATCAAAACATGGCATGCCCGTCTGGTGGCGTTTCATGATTTTCAACTTTATTGTCATTTAGGCCTAAATTAAAGGCAAGGGTTTATGTTATGGCAGTTATGGCATTATAGCCTAAAGTTTATCGTGGATTAAACCTTCAACTAGGAGTCTAACAGCGTCACTGCGTTGCTGTTTGGGTGCGCAACCCCCGGTCTCCTGCTTTGTTTTGGATAAGAACAGCGAAAACGAGGTCACTTTCTGTGAGCATGCGCTGAATGCAGCTTATTTCACTTTCGTTTTGGAGGTACCTGTCAACACACATGATTCTACGGTGTCGGAAAGTTTTGCCCCTTTATACTGATGGTTTTCGTAACCGGTATCTGGAATTTACTAAGCGCTTGAGTAGACGATTATTTAGCACATATAGTTAATCTAGCTCTAATGTATCGTAGAATGTATACTAGAATCGATAAATACTATCGCAGACTGCTTCTTAATGCTCAGGAACATGCCAGATAGGGTTGCGCACTGAGAAGCAGACCAAATTTGTGCCGTCCGTTTCAGTGCGCAATATCAGCTTTTTTGCCTTTTGGCATTGATAGTGTGGCTTCTACTTCTAGGCCCTTTGGCTGTTTTACTTATTAAGTTATTTCTTTATGACCTGCACTGTGCACTGAAACAGACTGTTTTCCTTCCGTTTGGATGCATTATATTGCCATTGGAAGATGATCAGTTAATGTATTCAAGATGTCAAAATTAATTAATATGGAAATTTAATCTCCAAAATGTTCAATTTCTTCTTTTCATGTCTTTTTCTTCTTCTTTTTTGTCCTTTTCCTTTAAGAATACTAGTCTAGGTATAGTCTAATTCTTGTTTTCTTCTTTCACCTCCTTGTGTCCTCAGCACCTTTCTTTTTCAATTTCTTCTTTTCACATCTTTTTCTTCTTCTTTTTTGTCCTTTTTCCTTTAAAAATACTAGTCTAGGTATAGTCTAATTCTTGTTTACTTCTTTCACCTTCTTGTGTCCACAGCACCTTTCTGTTTTGGCCGGCACTATTTCTCCGAACGTTCGGGAAAATAAAGCTAGGCACTATTTCTCTGAACGTTCGGGAAAATAAAGCTGGGCATTATTTCTCCGAATACTCTGAAATCACACCCTTTCCCCAAATTTCGGATATTATATAGATCTATAATTATAGTATATGCCTACCAAAGATTGTTCGTATGCAATATGGTTCAATCGGTACAAAAAATGTCTGCAGTAAATATTTATATAAAGAAATACTACAGTTTCAAACAGTTTTTCGCTATATATATATATATGACGTGTTGCCTATGAAGGGTGCTGCTCTTAAACTTAATGTGTTGTGTTCACTCTTGTGCTGTCTAGATCTAGATCTAGATCTACGGAGGGTTATTGATAACGACACATAGAACTAGCATCTGCGTTTGTCGCTGCTGCGACCAATCAATCGTGGCTCGACTTTTTGGTCCCCAAATCGGGGAATAAAAGTCAAATAAAAAAAAAAAAGAAGAAAGAAACCGAACCTCTTTACTTTTGAAAGAAAGTTCACCTAGCTTCACTTCCTCTCTTTCTCACTTGTTGTCACCACGTTGATTTGTTGAATACGTTACAGTTACTTTTATTTTCCCCTCTTTTTGGTGTTTTATTTTGTTAGTGTGTATTTTTTTCTTTCTTGTTATTGTTCTGATGTGTTGTTTTTCTATCAATTTTTTTTTTGTTGGGGAAAAAGGGGGAGGGGGAGTGTTGTATAGTGTAACGTCATTTAATTTGATGTTCCTACCTTCATTAGATTCTAAACATGTATATATATATATATATATATATATATATATATATATATATATATATATCCAGGGCTCATGAGTCGTTCCTCTCTTTCAGTTTCACTCATTCATTGAATTCCCGTGTTCTGTTCTCTCCCGCGGCTCATCCCCGTCCGCATGACTTTCACACCCCACCCCCTCCCTCCAGGCACACACAAAGAAAATCTCACTCATTCCCTAGCACCCTGCGAACCATGGACAATAATATTAGCAAAACATTGCCTACTGCCTTAGCCACATTCCTTTCGTTCGTGAGCTGTGGACCAGGCCTGGGGGGTCGGTGTCGTCGCCTTGTAGTTGCTGTCGCCTGTGGATACACTCGTACATTCTTCCTTTCACCTGCTCTGTCACTCACACTGTCTCTCCATCCACAGCTCAGCTCGTCATATA